TTAGCTATCCTAGGTCCTTCAGTCATTTACTTTATTTATCCATTTTATATCATTGTTCTGCATGGAAATATTAACCTGATATAAGCTATTTTGTCTGTCTACTAAATGAAATTTAAATTTGTTTTAAAATTGTAAGATATATAATATGAATATGAAAAAAATTCTGTCAACCACATTAAAGTATAAATGTAGCTGAATTCTTGGCATTTTGTAGAAAAGCATCCAAAAGATTTACTGAAATTTTCAGCATTTGATTACAGTATAGATAAATCAGTGTAATTTTTATAATCAGAGCAACTTTTATAATCTTAAATTTGAGTGGCTATAGGAGTATTTACACCTTTGTAAATATCCATTCTGAAATTAAAAGGCACTTTTAAGTAACTTTCTTGTACCCATTTATTAGCTCAGGGTGGCCATATGTGGATGCCTAAAAACAGCCATCCTCTCCCAAGATGAGCTAAAGCAGTCCTGTGCCATCCAGAGTGCTGCAGACACCACAAGTGACGAGGAAACAAAAATACTGCATGCACAGAGCTACCTACGATGGAGTTTCTGAATTAGAGTTGGAGAAAACTGGCTCTTTAAATTTCAAAATAAAAATTAGTTTGCCTATCAGTATGAGACAGTAAATATTCATTCACTACCTCTCTTGTGCCAGAAACTTTCAGGGACCCTATACACATAGTGCTGTTGTGTGCAGATAGCAGAAAATGAGGATGGACAAGGGTAAAGACTTTAATCGCAGGATTCTTTGGGTGGTTTTAAAATAGAAAAGAAACATAGATTTTCAAAGTTTGGCCCCTTGTAACAAGCACTGTTCCAAGCACTTTATAAGAAATATCTCATTTAACACTCACAGCAAACCTGTGCATTATTCATTCTTTTTGGGGGAAGGGAAGGGGGCGCTGGCCAGTACATGGATTTGAACTCGGGACCTTGGTGTTATCAGCATCATGCTCTAACCAGCGGAACTAAACGGTCAGCCCTCAAACCTGTGAATTAGTTACTATTATTACTGTTACCATTATTATTATTCCCGTTGTTTGCCAGTTGAGTTAAAAGAGGATAATTAATTTCTGCGAGACGAATGCCTCAGCGAGTGGTGGATTTGGCTCCATAATGCCTGATTCTAGACAATTGCATTTAACTTCTGCACCCCCTGCTCCCCCAGTAGCGCCTGAACTTTAGATCTGAAGCATCTGTGCCCGCTGTGGAGGAAGTTGCTTTGAGACAATCGTGTGTTCTTTAATAACGGACACGTTAATCTTTAGAGGCTTGGGCTCAACAGACCTGAACTGTGTAGAATGAAAGATTGCAGGATCCTCGGCTTCTTTCTATCCACCGCTACAGTCCACTTCTAAACTGTCTCGGCGTCTCGGGCTACTGCTGGGCTGCCGGGGCTGTGCCTCCGCTCTGCAGCGCCGCCAGCCCCTCCCCCATTGCGCTCCGCGCCCGGGTGACCAGGACGCAGCGTCCCCCCTGCTCAGGTGGAGCTCGGCTTCCGCCGGTTCCTCGCCGACCTGCCGGGAGACCCGCGCCGCCCTGCAGACCCCCGTGTACACGGGGAAGTCCCGGCCCGCCCCGCCCCCGAGGCCTTCACGACTTTGCTGGGAAAAGAAGGCTCAGCGGAGCCAAATAAGTAGAGAAACAATCAGAGGTGTGTGCTCAGAGACTGTGTGAAAATAACCGCGGTGCTCAGCTAAAAAAAAAAAAAAAAAAAAAAAAAAAAAAAAAAAAAATCGGGGCAGGAATGCGAAGCCAGGCAGAGAAAATTCTCTGAAGATAGAGACTGGGCTAGGATGGGTAATAGCTGCTTACTTCTCTCAAGATGCTCTGCTTAGTATTTCCAGTTACTCCGTCTCTTCTGACACTTAAAATCATGGAATACAATTTTAGTTTATAATAGTATATATGAAATATGGTCACTCTGAAACTAGAAAACATAGTCACTATGAGATGGTAGGACATGAGCAGTCATCCAGGTGAGCATTTGAAAGCAAACGCTGCTACGCTAGCTGCATAGCCTTGGGCAAGTTAGAGCACATTCTATTTCTCAGTTCCCTTGTGTTTGAAGATGTGGGGGTTGGTCAACTATTATATAGAACTTCACTGTCCAATATAGTAGCTACTAGTCCCAGATGGCTATTTAAATTCATAATTAAAGAAATAAAACTTGTGTTTGAAGATGTGGGGGTTGGTCAACTATTATATAGAACTTCACTCTCCAATATAGTAGCTACTAGTCCCAGATGGCTATTTAAATTCATAATTAAAGAAATAAAACTTCAGTGCCTCAGTCACTCCAACCACATTGCAAGTGCTCAAGAGCCACTTGGAGCTCGTGGTACTGTACTTGACAGCACATACGTAAACTGCAAAAAATTCTACTGGGCAGCACTGGCGTGTAAAAAAAAAAAAAGGGTCAAATACGATTTGGACACAGTGTTAGGAACACACCACCATTAAGCAAATAATAGGTCTACATTCAGGATTCATGCTTTTGCGAATCTGTGGAGATTGAGATAAAACTATACCTAACACTGATATAAAACTGAGATCTGTGCTGCAAAGTCTTTTTCCTGTAAAAATCACTGGAGCTGTCAAAAGAATGCTCATTAACCAACACATTTATGAAAGGAAGGAGAAAGTTTATTCTGGAGAGTTCAAGCCAGTCAGACTTTGGAACAGCTGGCATTCAAAATACAAAACTCAATAACTGTACAGAAGAAAAAGACACAATCACCAAGATTCCCTAGATTCATGATAGAAAAGCAGCAACATTCTCAAATGCTTATCACATTAGGAAAAGTTTACCTCTAAAAATCACTGAGCATTCTACTGCCTGATCATGGAGTATCCCTCAATTTATTTAGATCTTCCTAAATAAAAACAATTTTAATTTTGTTGTACAATCTTAATTTAATTCATAGTTAACTTTTAATGTTATAAATGTTATTAATTTAAAATGTTTATTTTAAATGTTATGTATATATAGACAACTGATTTTTATGTGTTGTACTCCTGTCCAGTGTCATTGCTAAATGCACAGTTAAATTTAATAGTTTATCTGTAAATTATTCTCAATTTTCTGCTGCATCAACAATTCCTCTCCTCTAACATTTTTTATTTCTTTGTTTGCCTTAAAGCCAGAACTTGCAATAAATAATAAATACAGAACATTTTGCCTTTCTATTAATTTCAGAGAGATAGCATTAAAAGCTTTTATTTGGAATAGTCTTAATTATAGATATAATTTTTAATAGATCCATATTCATATTTCTTATTTCTGCTCCTGTCATTTTCACTAATAGATGTGTTTCTAGGTATATAACATTTTATATACATTTTCAAGCTTAATGGCTTAACCTTGTTCCTGATATCTTCTCAAGATTTTTAATATCTGTTACTAATGTAAGGATATCACTTTTAGAATTTCTGATCTTGATTATTTGAGGCTTTTTCACTTTTTTCCCTTTATCAGTTTCAATAATCCTTTCACAGGATTTTGCTTGATTTACTCCCTTTACTTCATATTTATTTTTCTTAAATTTATTGCTTTTCTTATCTTTATTATATGCTTCAATCTACTTTCTTAGCTTTCACTTACATAATTAGGATTTAATTTGTTGCTCAGATGATTATATCATAAATATTCTTCCACTTTAAAATTTAAATTTATGCTATAAAATTCCCTCTAAGAAACTTGTTTTAGCAAAGAAAATCCAATAATATGTAAAATGATAATATATCATAACACAAAGAGTTTATTCTTTAAAAATATGGTAAGTTAAAGTTTTGAAACTCTACAAGTGCAAACAATCACATTAAGGGAATAAAAGGGGAAAACATGATTCTCTTTCAAAAAATGCAGTAAAATACATGGTAAGTCAGTATACCGTCATGATAAATACTCTTAGCAAAGTAGGAATACAAAAATAAAATTTATTAGTCTACTAAAATGTATCTTCAAAACCACAAAATGATTACAAGTGGAAATTTTAAAGCAGCCCTTAAGCAGAGTATAGTGGAGAATATGTTAGGAAAAGCTGTCCTGTCACAATACAGCACAGATCTGGATGAAAGAAAGAAAGAGGAACAAAGGGCCACCACAAATTAACTGAGCAGAGAAAATAAAAGCACGGGTCACACAGGGGGCAGTGGCCTATTAAGTCAGCATCAGGACTGGGCGAAGTCTGGGGCTTTGCACAATGGGCTAGTGAGACTTAGAAATCACAACAAAGACACACATCTGAAAGGCATGAACACAGCCTCAGATCAGAAGTGCTCCCTGCTAATGACTTGCTGGTGAAAGCCGTATCCAACGTAAGCCCGCAAGAATTTCCAGAAAATAAAGATTGAAAGAAATGATGTATTGTCAACAGAACAAAATGAAAGAAAAGCCTCCAGCAGTGAGAATCATGGAACAAAGGAAAGACCCACACAGACATAAGATAGTGAAAAGAAAACGAATTTATAAAATTCACGCATGAAATGTTTCAGAAACTGCAAGATGAATTTTTAAACATAGGGGAAAAAAAGAAGGATGATTTCTAAATGACAGATTAGGAACAATAATCAGATAAAACGCACATGATTGAAACTAGAAGCGATTGAATTAAAACCTCATCCTCTGGAAAAGGCGCTGTGAGAGAAGGAATTAGGGACTACCGGAGCGTAGCGGAGCAGGGGCAGAGGCCGGAGAAGGGGGCTGGGGCTTCGCTGCCTGTGTTGAACAAAAAAGATGTCAGATCTGACGTCTGCGGCAGAGACCGAGCAGAGCGCAGATGGTGTCACCACAGGAAGTGTCCCCCGTGCTGCCTGCCCCCGGGAGTGAGTAGGAACCAATAGTCACAGGGAGCAGGGAGCGGGGGGGAAGGAAAAAAGATGCACACTTCCCTTCCTGAATCCTCCGTACCTTCCCCGAACTCAGGGCTTTAAGCCCCAAAATAAGGCACACCGGGGAGGTTCTGGCACCGTTTCAGGGCAAATAATCTGCCATGGAAGAGCCTGCAGCTCCCTCTGAAGCCCACGAGGCACCCGGGGCCGAGGCAGGTGCCGAGGCAGCAGGGGAGGGTGCATCTGGGCCCGACCTCCCCGTGTGTGAGGCCTCCGGGGAGTTGGCAGCTTCAGACCCAGTCTCCCTTCAAGCTGCTGTGGGCCTGCCCCCCCTCCGTGTGGTTCCGGAGCCAGCCCACCTGCGCACAGTGGGTCTGAGGTCTGCCCGGGCCTCAGGGGGAGGGGCCAGGCCCAGCTGTCTTCCAGGCCGGAGCAGCGGCAGCTGGACAAAGCAAATCGTCTGCAGGTATTATGTACATGGGCTGTGCAAGGAGGGGGAGAACTGTCGCTACTCCCACGACCTCTCTGTCAGGCAGAAGGCCAGGGAGGGCCGCGGTTCACCGCCTCAGGCCTCTGCAGACAGAGGCCCCAGTGCGGCTGCGCAGAGCGAGCCCCCGACTCAGGAAGTGGTGGAAACCCCCCCTGCTGCATCCTCACGCTCCTTGCCTCTGATTGGCTCGGCTGCTGAAAGGGGTTTCTTTGAAGCCGACACAGACAATGCAGGCCGTGGAGCTGCTGGAGGAGCAGGTGCAGCGGGAGCAGAAGGCTGGGAGAATGCCATTGAGTTTGTTCCCGGGCAGCCCTATCGGGGCCGTGGGATCCTTCCTGTCCCCGAGGCTCCTCTGCAAAGCTTGGTGACTGAGAGGGAGCAGATGGCTGTGGGCATGGGAGAGCAGCTTTGTCGCTATGCTGCCAGGGGTCAATGCTTTCGTGGGGAGAGCTGTGTGTACCTCCACGGAGAGATATGCGACATGTGTGGGCTGCAAGCCTTGCACCCCATGGATGCTGCCCAGAGGGAAGACCATATAAGGGCCTGCATTGAAGCACATGAGAAAGATATGGAACTCTCATTTGCTGTGCAGCGTAGTATGGACAAGGTGTGTGGCATCTGCATGGAGGTTGTCTATGAGAAAGCCATCCCCAGCGACCGCCGCTTTGGCATCCTTTCCAACTGCAATCACACCTTCTGTATTAAGTGTATCCGCAGATGGAGAAGTGCCAGACAGTTTGAGAACAGGATCACCAAGTCCTGCCCCCAGTGCAGGGTCTCCTCCAGCCTTGTCATTCCCAGTGAGTTCTGGGTAGAGGAGGAGGAAGAAAAGCAGAAACTTATTGAGCAATACAAGGAGGCAATGAATAACAAGCCCTGCATGTATTTTGCTGAGGGGAGGGGTCGGTGTCCCTTTGGAAGGAACTGTTTTTACAAGCATGCATACCCTGAGGGCCAGGGAGATCATCCTCACAGACCAGGTGGTGGGTCATCCAGCACATACTGGCATCAACTTGTGCAGCCTGTGCAGGTGGGAGAGGGCAACATGCTCTTTAAAAGCAGGAAGAAGGAGATTGTCGTGCTTTGGCTGGCCAATCTGTTGTTTAAGCTATTTCTTTCACTGAGAGGTGATGAGTTTCCCTTCTCTGAGGACCAGTGAAACTTGCTTCATTATGAGCTGGAGGAATATTTTTATTTCAGTCTGTAGCATCATCCTGTGACATGTGGTCTAGTTTGCTAAGGCTGTCGTCTGCTATTGCCCGTGTTCCCTTTATTGACACACCTTTTACTTTCGGGGGCTGCTGAGGTGATTTTTATGCAGTGTTTCTGTTTTCTTGTTTATTCCCCATTTCCTTCCTCGCAGGATTATGGTGTTTCTCTGTGTTAAAAAGAAAAACAAAAAAGTCCTTAAAGTTATTGTTTTGGTGAAATTAATATTACTGTCAGTTTATGGCTTATTGTGTCAATTTCCATTTCCAAGATGATTCACTCAGTCCTAGTGTTTATAGAATTTCCACATTCATTGGGAAGTCCCTCAAGAATAAATGTGGCAGGATCAAAGGGGAAGTCTTAACTGAACTAGAAGGTTTCTGCAAAATAGCCTTAAGAAATGAACCCTCACAGGACCTTGCAGCTGCTCATCTGTTTGTTTACATGTCTGTTCCTTCCCTCAGTCCCCTTAAAGTGCACTTGTTAACTTGTGGTTATCTTGTGCTTTCGTGTTGTACTTGACCAAAACTAGGTATGTAAGTTGACTTGTGATTTTGTTTTACTTGATCAAAACGAGGTGTATATGTTTACTTGTGATTGTTACTTGACCAAAACCAGATGTATATGTTTACTTGTGATTTTGTTTTACTTGACCAAAACCAGTTGTATATGTTTACTTGTGATTTCGTGTGCTGCTTGACCAAAACCAAGTATCTAAGTTTACTTGTGATTTCATGTGTTACTTGACCAAAACCAGCTGTATATGTTTACTTGTGATTTTGTTTTACTTGACCAAAACCAGTTGTATATGTTTACTTGTGATTTCGTGTGCTGCTTGACCAAAACCAAGTATCTAAGTTTACTTGTGATTTCATGTGTTACTTGACCAAAACCAGGTGTATATGTTTACTTGTGATTTTGTTTTACTTGACCAAAACCAGTTGTATAAGTTTACTTGTGATTTCGTGTGCTGCTTGACTAAAACCAGGTGTATAAGTTTACTTGTGATTTCATGTGCTACTTGACCAAAACCAGGTGTATAAGTTTACTTGTGATTTCATGTGCTACTTGACCAAAACCAGGTGTATATGTTTACTTGTGATTCAGTGTTTACTTGACCAAAACCAGGTGTATATGTTGACTTGTGATTTTGTTTTACTTGACCAAAACCAGGTGTATATGTTGACTTGTGATTTCGTGTGCTGCTTGACCAAAACCAGGTGTATAAGTTTACTTGTGATTTCGTGTGCTACTTGACCAAAACCAGGTGTATATGTTTACTTGTGATTCAGTGTTTACTTGACCAAAACCAGGTGTATATGTTTACATGATTTTATCCTGTTTAGTGTGACATGAAATTATTTATATGTGGAAGTATATATTTAAGAATGATACATATATAAATATATGCATATGTGTGTAAAAGTTATGTATTTGAAAATAGATACAAAAGAATATATACCATAATATAATATATATATGTTTATGTAATAAATACAGAACTAAAAGCTGAAGGTCAAAGCCTAATAGGATTAGCTGTTGTGTGAGTGTGAGTTGTGTGAATAATTTTTTTGTGCCCTGCACAGATGTCAGTAATCATTATCTAATGAAAACAACTGTCCAAGTGGTTCTGGCCAAATGTGACAGACACGGATCTTACAGGACTTACAAAACATAATGTTGTTAATTCCTATGATGACATTAATAGTTCACTCCACTATTATAAATACAGAAATGTGTACTTCTATGCCATTTAGCCATCATCTCATTATTCTTTATACCAGCAAATTCTGGGCTCAGACACACAGGTTTTTGTATTCGGTATGTTAAATTATCTCTAGACTTTCCAAACAAGGGGCTTTTGACAAAAGTTTTCAAAATAAAAGTAGGAATATTATAAAAAGGGAAAATAGAATAAAAATACTGAAACTAGTCAGAATACAAGAATGGAAAGATAAAAGAATGAAATATAGAAAGGACCCAAAACTAAATACAATAGTAATATAAAAATTTATAATACAAATTACCATAATTAGATTAAATGAAGAATTTAAACACTTAAAGTCAAATTTATCAGATTTGATTAAAATTAAAATGAAACTATATGCTATTTAAAATACACAACTACAATATAAAAATACAGAAGAATTAAAAACCATAGGATGGAGAAAAATTAACCAAGCAGGTGCTCTTAATTTCTTTATCACAAAAAAATTTTATACTAAGGAGTTATGTATTGGAAAGTATATATAAAAGAATATATGCCGTAATATATCTCCAAAGCATGTTGCCGGAGACAAAGGATGATATATAAACATTAAATCTAATTCACAGGAATATATAACTATTTAAATTTTGTATTTAATGACATTACATCAGATATTGGTAAAAATAGAAAATTCCAAATCCAAGCTCTTAGTGGACAATTTCAAGACATCGAACAGGCAAAGGCAGAAAGAATGTGAGAGAGTTGAACAACACAATTTTAACAATTTCTCCAACCTGCATAGAATATAGTACGTGTCAATTGCACAATGCAGTTCTCTAGGCTAAGATACCTGAAAAATATGCTAGGGGCCAAGTCCTGAGTCCCAGAATATTTAGACTGCCCTGACTATCCAAGTGTACTAAGCACTCTTCAGAGTAATAATTTAATTGTCAGAATCACCTTATGTGGTACTTGCATTAATTTTTCTCATTATCTTGATGAGGTAAATAAGGTAGAGAGTTTAAAATTACTTGCCCACATAGCTATAACACATATTGGAATTAGTGGAATGAGGAATAGAGCTCAAGTAGTATGTTTCCAGAGCATTTGCACTGACTGCTGCCTCTAGCCCCATATGGGTGACCACAAGAGCAGGTGGACTGGTTGAATATAGCTGCCGGGGATGCATGTACAGCCTTTAAGTATGGGTAGTTCAGCTATGTGGGGCAGATCTGAGCATAAATGAACCACCACAGAATGTGAGAGTCTTGGGACTTTTATCTATAGGCTGCCAGGCTCAGAGTTTCTTAGTCCTCTGCTCAGAATGTGCCTCAGCCTCCCATATGTTTACACTGCCTCTCCCTTCTTACAACATTCCTGGTTCTCTGAGTAAATTCAGCCTGTTTCTCCGTGATTTTTGCCATACTCCTTTCCTCATGATTCCTCTTATCCAGATAATTTACAGTCAGGAGACCCTGGATACCTGACTATTATTAACATGCAAGGTGACTGATTCCAAATAAAATTCAAAAATAGTCCCACCCCTGAGGCCCCTGCTCTCCACACATGCAGGGGAAAGAGAACCAGATGGGGCACTTTCAAAGACTGTGCTGACACCACCGTCTGAAAAAATGAGCTCTGGTAGTGGCTAACCTGTCAGGGTTTTTAAAGCTGAGCCTGGAAATCTGTGGAAGCTTTCTCCTAATGTACACTGCCCAACATTTGAAAATATCACGTTTTTGTTCAAATACTAACTTGAACTAGTCAATCATAATAAAGTTCATGAGATATAATGGAACAAGGGTTAGTAGAAAATAAAGTAGCTCGGGAGACAAAGGATAATTAGAACCCTGACTCTGCTTCTTACCTGCCATGCAGTCTAAGCGAATTACATAAATTTTCTACACCTCAGTTTCTTCGTATGAGAAATGGGTATAATACCACCTTCTTCTGCAGGATTGTTGTGAGAATTGAGTGTAGTCTGAACAAAGTGCTTGAAACTAGGTGGTGTTTTTAAAGTGGCATTATGGAAGTGGGATTTTGGGGTGTTTGTGGACGTGGCAAGTGATGATACAGGAATTAATACTCGACCAAGTTTTTCTTTGTGGGAATCTTTGGAACTCAAGTTAACATTATTATTTTATTAGTACTTCTGTGTTCAAGGGGCATATTACTCTCACATTCATAGTTTCAAAAAGACCAAGTATTTTTTTCTGCAAAAATCATTTAGTTAAAACTAAAAATGTGCTACTCATTTACTGATAACAGACAACAAAAGATGTATTATTTTTGGTGGATGCCTGTGTGAGGAAAATAACAAATAAGGTAACTTTATTTATAGTGGCGTTTTTTGTTCCCTAAGCTCTTTCAAAAAGCGGTGAAATAACACAGATGTCACTGCCACCAAGGCTGGGCAGTGTTTCCAAGGGCTTTCCCATAAAGGCAGCTGGGCTACCTCTGCCGCCTTCAGGAACAAAGGAGCCCGTGCCACACAAAGGTTTGCTCTGTGAGTGATTTGGAGTGTGTGCTGCACCACCCCCACTAGGACTCAAGAACTCGGTCCGGAGTCCACAAGTAAGATATAATTCCAGCTACAACAACAACAACAACAAAATCCTGGTTAAGCAAAAAAGCCTGCTTTTGCTTCATATGTCTAGATTCAGAGGATGTATGCACATACAAATATGCTAAAGGAAATTTACCTAGTAATCTCTCCCCTCAAAGATATGGCGACCACTTTGTCTCATGATTTACATGTCACTAAATTCACTTACTGAAATTTACTGACATAAAGGAAAACATTTCCAGTCCACAGTCGATGCCCATATGTTCTTTTATTTTACACTTTTGTAAACAGCTCGGGGGTGTGGTTTCTGTTTCCACAGCTGATGCTAAACTATAGCCTCAATGTGCAATGGAGTTGGGGTGGGTCTGGGAAAAAGGATGTTTGGAAAGTAACCCAGCATTAGTGCAAAGAAGTAAATTAATACATGTCAGAATTTTTGCCATGAAAGTATATAATATATTTTCCAGTATTAATGGAACACTAACAAGAAAATAATTGTATAGTAGATGACAATGAAACTGTCAAGTAGATTGAAAAATCAGAAGTAGAACGCGCACCATCCTCTGATATCAGTACAAGAAAAAAAGCTACTAAAACCTGACAGTTACTTTAATTTTCTTGTAAATAATTTGATAAAAGAGTTAATTCAAAATAATTTAGCAGCACAGAATATGAT